AATCTATAGAAGCATCTATCTAACTACAGTATCTACCTAATTTTTTTTTTTGAGTCAGGGTCTCACTTGTTGCCCAGGTTGGAGTGCAGTAGCATGATCAAAGCTCACTGCAGCCTTGACCTCGTGGGCTCAAGTGATCTTTTCCCTTTAGCCTCCTGAGAAGCTAGGACTATAGGTGGATGCCACCATGCCCACTTAACTTTCTGTAAAGACAAGGTCTTACTATGTTGCCCAGGCTGGTCTTGAACACTGGGCTCAAGGGATTCTCCCACCTTGGTTTTCCAAAGTGTTGGGATATATGCCTGAGCTACCCCTGGCCTTTATTTGCCTTTTAAAAGTATGAAAAAAATACCTTCACTTAAGGTCAACCCCTCCATTAGGACTTAATCACATCCCCTCTTTTCTAAAGACTTGATTCCAGCTATTACTACCTCAACGGCACACTTCCAACTTCTCTATCATCACTGAATTATTTTCATCAGCAAATATGCATGCTTTAGTATTATCCATCTAATATTCCCCTCCATCTCCTGTCTTGTTTCTCTGCTCCCCAGTCATGGCAAAATTCCTCAAAAGAATCGCCTACACTTGCAGTCTCAGTTTTATTAGCTCCCACTCCACCTTAAATTCACTTCAATTGTGTTGTTATCTCCACCACTTAAAGGAAATAGTTTTCATCAAGGTAAACCAAAGGCTATCATCTTGCCAAAAACAGTGGTCAACTGTCCTCAACTTACTCATCTTCTCAGTAGCTTTTGGCAGTTATCACTTCTCTTTCTTGAAATACTCTTTCATTCTACAAAAAAGATACCTGTGCATGCATGTTTATTGTGGCACTATTCACAACAGTAAAAGCATGGAACAAACCTCAGGCTGCCCATCAAAACCGGATAGGATAAAAAAAATGTGGTACATATACACAATAGAATATTATGCAGTCATAAAGAAGAACAAACATATGGACTTTGCAGTAACTTGGATGGATTTAGAGGCTATCATACTCAGTGATCTATCACAGAAACAAAGAATAGAGTACCACACAGTCTCACTCATAAATGGACCGTGAACATTTACCATAATACTATAAGAAAAGGGATTAGCAGTAGCAGGATATTGCTGGGGTGGGGGTGGGGGGACACAACATCAATAAGGGTACCTAATCTCAAACTAGGCAAAGTGAAGACCAAAGGGAGGCCCAAACTTTACCTGTACAATGACCACTTGTATACCTAATCCTGAATTGTACCCCACATCTTAAAAAAATAAATAAATAAAATAAACATTCTTCTCTAGGCTGCCCTGACATGCCCATTCTGGTATTTAGCTATACTCTCTCCCCAGGTGATTTTATCCAATCCTTTTTTTTTTAAGGATATGCTTATGCAATAGAATGAAACTTATCATACCATATACAAAAATTAACCCCCAATAATCACAGACTAAATTAAGAGCTAAAATTATAAAAATCTTAGAAGAAAATTTAGGAGTAAATCTTTGCAACGTAGGGTTAGAAAAAGGGTTTCTTATATATGACACAAAAAGCACAAATAACAAAAGAAAAAATGAATAAACAACTTCATAAAAATTAAAACCTTTTTTCCCAAAAAAGACCCCCAAGAAAGCAAAACAAACAAACAAACAAAAAAAAACCCAATACACAAAATGGGATAAAATATTTGCAAATCATCTCCTTGTAAGATACCTATATCTAGAATATACAAAGAATTTTTTTAAAGTGAACAATAAAAATATCAAAAATATCCCAATTTTAAAAACGGGCAAAGGATTTGAACTGACATTTCTCTCTCCCTCCCCTCAAAAAATTTTAAATGGCAAATCAAAAAATGCTCAACAATATTAGTCACAAAGAAAATGCAAATCAAAATCATAATAATATAACCATTTTTCACCCACTAGGAGAGCTATAAGTAAAAAAGAGAATACAGGTGCTGGTGAGGATGAGAGAAATTAGAACTCTTATACATTGCTGGTGGGATTCTAAAAAGGTATAGCCACTTTGGAAAACATCTTGGCAGTTTCTTAAAATGTTATACACAGAGCTACTATATGACCCAACAATGTAACTCCCAGAGATATACCCTAGAGCAATGTCAGTATATGTCCACACCAAAACTTATATATACAATGTTCATTGTAGAATATTTTAAAAAAATTATTTCTATTATTTTAGCAGAATACTCTTAATAGCTGAAAAGCAGTAATAGTTCAAAAGCTGATAAATGGATAGCAATATGCAACATATTCATACAATAGAATCTTATTTGGCAATAAAAAGTAGCATCGTGAACCTTGAATAACATGAGTGTGAGTCATGCAGGTCCACCTATAGGTAGATATTTTTCAATGAAAGTTATATCAACTGTGCCAGCCTCTTCTGCCTCCCCTCAGAGAGTACAATCAAGAGAGAACCCTTCTCTTTCTTTTTCTCTTCATCCTTCTTGACCTACTCAACAGGAAGACATTGAGGGTAAGAACCTCATAATGATTCACTTCCACTTAATGAATAGTAAATATATTTTATCTTCCTTATGATTTTCTTAATACATTTTCTTTTCTCTAGCTTATTTAATTTTAAGAATACAGTAAATGATACATATAAGATACAAAATATGTGTTAACTGACCTATTCATGTTATCATTCTAGTCAATAGTAGGCTATAAGCAGTTGTTTTGGGGTAGTCAAAAGTTATATGAGAATTTTTGACTGCCCAGGGATCTGTGCACCTAATCTCTGTGCTGTTCAAGGGTCAAATATACTGAGATATGTTACAAATGGAAGAATCATGTTTTTGAGTAAAAGAAACCAATTACAAATGACCACATATTATTTGATTCTATTTATATGAAACATCTGGAGTAGGCAAATCTATAGAAACAGAAAGTATATTAGTGAATGCCAGGAATTTGGGAATTACTGCTAAGAGATAAGAGGTTTTATTCAGAGGAGATGAAGAAGTTATGAAATCAAACAGTGGGGATGGTTGTAAAATTCTATGAATATGGTAAAAATCAGTGCATCATACATTTTTGAAGAGGTGAATATTATGGTATGTGAATCACAGGTCAATAAAACTGTCATAAAGAAAGAATAACTGAAGATACTAGTAAGATTCATCTTTCCAGAACCTGATTAATTTTCAAATATGTAATCATTTTTTCAGTGAGCATTTATTCTATCATTGTTAAATACTAGAGACACGAAGATGAATGACATTATCCTCTACCCTCAGGGAGTTTCCAGATTAGTAGAGGCTGTTCTCCATAAAGCCTTGCTAAATGTATATAGGACACTTTACTCTGGACATTCAGACAGAATACCCAAAAGAAGGGTATATAGGATATTTGTTAAAATAAAGAGAAATTGCTTTGAATTGCTAATCAGAAAATAAATTTTTTTGGCCTCCAATCTGATATGCTATGCATTCTTAAGGTTTAGTAATCTTGGAGTTACAAACATTATACCAATAATTGCTATCAGGAAAAAGTTTCCTGAACATCTGCAGATATATAGAATATAGCTTGTTCTCTTTCCCCCACGCGTCTTCCTTCCCCTTGTCTGGATTCCATATCCTGTTGACTTGTGATAATTAGGTACAAAAGTGATAGGTGCTGACTGATACTGGACAGCTTGGTAATGGGGTAAGCCCGGCATGTTCTGACACGTTCTCTCCATGAGATACCTCATGAGACAATAGCCTACTGCATTCCAAGTACCTGACACAGGCAGTAGCTGCCTACTGAATAAAAACTGCATCGACACTATATGAAGCAATCTTTGAACATTCTAATACCATTCTGATTCTTTCCCTTCTGGATATTTACATTTTGCTTTTTTACATATAATAATTATATTTGATAAATGAATGGATGCTTAATTATTCAAGTGAATTTTGGGAGTGGGCAGAGGAAAAGAAGAGGGAGGATGAACAGATGTTGCCATTCCAACTTCTTAAATTATTTTCAACTGATTTCAGGTTATACATAAAGTAATATTGCTTGTAAAAGGAGGAAAGCTACTGTGTTGAAAGCACTTAGAATATAATTTAGTTGGAATTGCTTAATAATCAGACTTTTCGTATACTGCCATTTTTAGACTAACTTTGAGACCTTGGGCAAATCACTTAACCTCAATGAGCCTCAGTTTCCTCCTTTCTAAAACTGGAATAACAATGATATCTAACCTGTCTCTCAGGATTATCATACAGTATAGTTAAATGAGAAAAGAAGTGTGAAAGACTTATAAATGATGAAGAGCACCATCAGCATAATATATCATTTACCTGAAGCTTGCATGCATTTCAATGTTTGTACAATTTACTCATATATACCCACTGAAACTGAATTGGTTGGTGTCTCATACATATTAAGTATCATATAAAAATTTTCTCAGAGAATAAAATAACCCTGCTGGCACCTTACTGAAAGTATATCCCAATCACTTAGCATTCTCAAATCATTAAAAATGTGAAGTGGGCTGGGCTCAGTGGCTCAGCCTGTAATCCCGGCACTTTGGGAGGCTGAAGTGAGTGGAGTGCCAAAGCCTGTGGGTTTGACACCAGCCCGGGCAACTTGGCGAGATCTCGTCAATATAATAAATCAAAAATTAGCCAGGCATGGTAGCGTGAACCTGTAGTTCCGGCCACTTGGAAGGCTGAGGCGGAAGGATCGCTGGAGCCCGGCAGGTCCACGCTGGGGTGGCCGTGAGTGTGCCATTGCACTCCAGCCTGGGTAAGGAAGTGAGACTCCAACTCAAAAAAAAAAAAAAAAGTGGAGCTACTTGTTAAATGTTTACTCCTACTGAATTCTCAGGTTCCAGTATTATAATTCCCTGATAAATTCAAACTACAACAAGGAAAGTACATATCAGATTTATTTTTATAAAGGTTCTAAACTCTATGAATGGTGCATTCCAATTCTTTGGTGCATTACAATGAAAACTATAGCTTTAAAGTTATCTCCTGGTAATAACTGCTACTTACTTTTGCAGCACAGGATCGTATCACCTCCTGAAAGAAATACAGTACAATAAAGAAGTATTCATAATTGCATTTACATAAAGTATTGACTGTTTTAAAAACATTCAGATGTTAATCTTCTAATAATTAAAATCAGCACTTGGGAGATGCTCTGTGTCTATCACCACACAGCTGTCATTTTGCACTGTTTTCAATGAACTGGAAAGAGTATAAATTAAGGAGATTCAACAACATGTTCATGGTAAATATAAGTTGCTAAAACAAAAGGCGCTAGAAAACTCCTATGGGCTCATATGTATCTGCCTCAAGAAATACTTGTCTCCTCACTAAATTTAATATAAACACTAAAATTCTTACTACAACACTACAGTTCTGAGTTAACTGCAATATATAGTTATCTCTATAAATAACAATACCCCTAAATATGTCCTGTATTAATAATTCACATAAGATGAAATCTAATAGTAAATACTACTGAATCATAAAATATATCACTAGTATTGAAGGAGCAATAGAAAGGAATTGTCTACAATGCATGGGACAAGAAAAGATTTTTGAAAGAGAAGCTAGTAAAAGTCAATGTATTAAGGACACTGAAACTCTGCTGGTCAGGAGACACCAAAAACACTTAAGTCCAATTAAGGTTAACCAGTATATCATCAACCCGGTATAGAACTAGAGAAAAATAGTAATAATCAATGTGAAGATTAGAAAAAAGAGAACTGAGAAAGAGAAACATCCTTTTTTTTTTAAGATTGGAAAATATAGTTTATGTAGAAAGTAGATTAGAGAGAGAAAAGATTATCTTCCCCAGGGTGGGTGGGTGAGGGGGGGAGCAAAGCTTAGGGAAACACGTCCTAGAAACATCAGTTGTTTAAACTGGAAATTTCTAAGAGACAATGTGTCTAAAGAATATTGGTAATTTAATCACTAAAAGGAGACAGTAAAACTGACTATGGACATAGGAATCCAACACCTGGACTGAATTCCAGCTCCAGTGCTTACTACCTGAGTGATCTTGGTTATGTTGCTTAATCTCTGGAAACTTTAGATTCATCTTCTGGAAAATGGGAATAACACTAGTACCCACCCTACAGAATGGTTTGACGATTAAATACAATGTAAAGCACTTAGCACAGTACCAGAAATACATTATGTCAATTATTACTAATAATTAAATAGGTAGTAGTTATCATTAATCAATATAAGGTGAAATCTCCTGCGGGGTAGAGAAAATTAATGTTTTTTCAAAAGTGACATAAAATATTTTCAAACCTATCCAATCTCTACTCCTATGACTCTGTTTAAAAATGAATTCTGTGAGCATTAAAATGGGTTTCGGGTTAAATTTTAGAAAGTGAGAGTGGTCATGCGTGTTCAGGCAGATAGAAAGGTCTACCTTTCATTACAAGAAGCTTTTTGTCTTTTTAAAAAATAGATTCTGGCTTATTAATCAACTTTTTGTAGGACTGATTATTCTTAATAGGTACTCCAGACTTGAGCGACTCTGGATGTACTGATAAGGGCAAATTTCTGAAAACTTAGGATGAGTTGTGCCAACACACTCAAGATACTGCACACCTGAGAGGTCTAATCTGGGTTGCAGAATGCTTTTTAGGTATTGCTGTAGCAGCAATATGCAGTCAAGTCTGCTAACTATAAAACAATTAAATGCTTTAGATTATGATTAAATGTTAATGCTCCCAAGGACAGATATATATATATTTTGTATCCTTTACTCATTAATGAGTGAACACCTATTAAATACCAGTTGAATTGAATTTATTATGCAATTCACTCACACACACAAAAAATCATTCCCTAAACCTGTACTATAATTTAGTAGAAAAACATTCCTAATGCAGTAACAAAGAGCAAAAGAAATTTGGGGTCTACTGAAATACAACTGAAAGAAACAATAAAAAAGGCACAGTGGCAAAAGGTGATAATCCAATCAATCTAAATGCCTGCAAAATATAAAAAGAATGGAACTGCTATGGGAATAGAGATGACATTTTGCTTTTATTCCCATACATACTATACATATATGCTGAAAGAAATACACTGCAGATAGCATCTGAAAAATAAATTTCATGAATTCTCTCATAAAGAAAAAATGTTATTTTTTTAGGAAAGAAAACAAATAGACAAAGTTTTCATTTCCAAAGGCAGCCTCTATCTACCTCAATACCAAAGAAGATATAGTCTCCAAATAATTTTAAAAAGGAACGACTTGGTAAAAGCTAACTAAAGTAATAATTTTAGGAGAAATACATTTTTTCTTTTACAATAAATTATCAATTTACTCCCCTTTTCCTTTGATTTCATTTGTCAAAAAATATTTTTTTCTGATTTTATTTTTTCTTTACATCTCTTTTTCGTTCTTACATCTTTTCATTTACATGAGGATGACAGGTATGTAAAATGATGTTAGAAAAAAGCTAAAAAGACTTAGGTGATTTCAGAATATTAAGTTTTACAGTATAAAGATTGATAGACTTAGGGAACTTATCTTTACACATCTATTGGTGAGCTGTTCTTATGTCCACAGATGAAGTTAGTGTGATGTAAGATTTTAGATAAGCAACATATTTTTTGTTTTTCCTAGTGAAGAAACGTTTTTTCTCTACATCTTTAAAACTCAACATATCTATTCAGGCCAGTCTCAGTGGCTCAGCCTGTAATCCCAGCACTTTAGGAGGCCAAGGCGAGGGGACTGCCTGAGCCTGTGGGTTCGAGACCCACCTGGGAAACTTGTTGAAACCTTGTCTCCACAATAAATCAAAAATTAGCTGGGCGTGGTAGTGCGTGCCTGTAGTTCTGGATACTTGGAAGGCTGAGGCGGAAGGATCGCCAGAGCCCAGCAGGTCAAGGCTGCAGTAGCCAGGAGCGTGCCACTGTACTCCAGTCTGGGTGACAGAGTGAGACTCCAACTCAAAAAAAATAAAAAAATAAAAAAATAAACCTCAATATATCTGTTCAGATTTCCTTTTAAAATATGGAACACCCAATCCATTATTTGATTATACAAAAATGCTAAAATATAAAGAACTACAACATAGAAATATATTTATTAATTTATAGTCATATGTTCTGAAATTTAACTGAGAAATATAAAAAAATTTTCTCTATATTCCAAAATACATTCTGGGTTTAAGTTAAGTCTAAGCTAAGCAACTGAGTTTGATCTGCACTCTGGTATAAGTTAAAGTCCCTAACTTTATAAAGAAAGAAAGAAAAAGGGAGAGAAAGACAGAATAGTCAGAACTAAAGCCATCTCAAGTTCCTTGGATGTTTAGTTAAAAACTGGTTAAGATTTTGATCAAGAGAGAAAGAAAAGGGATAATATTTACTAAGTGCCAAGGCACTGTGCCAGGAGGTGAGAATACAACAATAAGCAAGGTTGTACAGTTCCTGTCTTCAAAGAGCTCAAGTCTAGTTCTATTCAAAGGACTTTTATTTATTATATTAAAAGTATGGTCAAAGATGATAAAATTTTTAAGGATGCTTAGGCTTCTTAATACATCTTACCACTTATTTTTGAGAAAGATTTTCTAGCAATTTTCACTAATAGAATGTCACATTATCTTTAACAAAGCATCCTCTTCTTCCTCCTAATTTTCATTATCTATTTTCATGTTTCATAGGCAATACTTGGCTTCTATGGTACTCTTTTGTTAGTAGTTAGAACTTTTAAAATATGCTTATGAAACATTTGTATCTACTCTTTTCTTGGAAGTATAGTTTACTTCTTTTATCCATTTCTCTGTTGAAGATTCACTATTTTTCTTTACTGTTTAACTTTTTTTGTCATGTTAAGAGGGATGTTTCTTCAATACATTTTATGTAAACATTTTCTCAGCCTGGCGTCTGTTGCATCTGTGTGTGTTGTATATATACAGGCTATATTTCTAAACAGAGAAATTTAAAATTCTGTGTTGACAGTCTATCAGTATTTTGGTGGAGGATTTTCCACTTCTTTTAAGACCAGCAAGTCGTTTATATATTCAAGAAATATGCCAGCATATTTCCCAGGTTTTTTTTAAACTTCTGTTTTTTACTTTTTTTAACTTTTATTTTCATATCTAACTACTTGATAAATGAAAATCTGACTTTGGTGAGTGACCTAAGATGTAGATTATACTTTTCAGTTAATTCAGAGCTAGTAAGTTTTCCCAGCAGCACACAGGGAACAATTCTCCTTTTCCCACTGATTTACCTTCTACCTTTATGAACTCGTATCACACTATTGTATCACTCCAGCTTTATAATATGTTTCAATGTGTGGTAAGACAAGAACTGGCTTCATTGTCATTTTGGCTCCTGTGGAGAAGTTGGAAGACAGCTTAGTTTCAGATAACCAGTTTTTTTTTTTAACCAGGATTCCTATGAAATTTTTTTTAGTCTTTGAAAATCAAACTATTTCACTAAGATATTCATAAGACATCAGTGTACTTTCATTAATTGGTCTTTTTTTTTTTTCTTTTGAGTTGGAGTCTCACTCTGTCACCCAGACTGGAGTGGCTCCTCCTGGCCACCACAGCCTTGACCTGCTGGGCTCCGGCGATCCTTCCACCTCAGCCTTCCAAGTAGCTGGAACTACAGGAGCATGCTACCATGCCCGGCTAATTTTTGATTTATTGTGGAGATGAGGCCTCGCCAAGTTGCCCAGGTGGGTCTCAAACCCGCGGGCTCAGGCAATTCACTCACCTCAGCCTCCCAAAGTGCGGGATTACAGGCTGAGCCACCGAGCCCGGCTTAATTGGTCTATTAATAGACACTTTCATTTTATAGATTTGGGACCTTCGCAAGACAGGACGTTTGTATTTGATTTTATTATTTCTTTTCACACATTCTAGTCTCTTCTTTAACAACACTGATCAACCATGTGCACAATCTATCTTTTATGGTGATCTCATCTCTTATTATCAACAATAATAACTATCATTTATCAGTGGTAGTATGTATCAGACAACCTGTTAAGAGATTTACATCTAGAATCTTACTGAATTTTAAAAATCCTGCAAAATAAGACATATTAGAATCCCCATTTCATAGATGAGGAAAATTAGGCGTACTTAACTTACTCAGAGTCAGAAAGATGGCATAGGCTTTGAACAGAAAGTTTCTTGGTCTATAAAACAAAGTTAATAACCACTGTTGTGCCTATCTTACAAGGCTCATACACTAAAGGAGGAAATGTAAGCATTATACAAGTGGACTGTATTAATAAAGACCCTGCCTTACATTATAATTGCTTGAACATTTGTCACTACCTACCAGACTTCCAAGCAAAGGGCATGGATATATGGTAGCAGAAAAGACAATGACATTAGAGAGCAGGAAGCCAAAGAGGAAGGTCAAGAACTGGAAAAACAAATCAACAATGGGAAAACTTTGGATAGAGAAAATTTGAAGAAGCAGGCTAGTCTCCCTGAAATGAAGACAGCAAAAGACAAGACAGACACAAAATAAGAACAGCTTTTATGTAAAAGGAAGTTTAGGAATTCAGTTTTTCCTAGATCACTCACTTGTATATGTTAACTAATGAAAATTAGCTATGCAGACTGGGAAATATAAAGAAGACAATATCAGAGCTGCCTCCAAGGAGCTTACGGTTTAGATAAGGGACAAAACACACATTTATTAAGTTCTTACCAAATGCTGGGGACTGTGAATTAGATCAGTTGCTCTCATTTGACCAGCAGAATCAGCGACACCCACAAACTTGTAGAAATAGAAATCATAGCACCACTCCAGACCTACTAAATCACAAACCCTGAGAGTGGAACCTGGCAATCTGTGTTCTGATAAGTCTGCCAGGTGATTCTGATGCACAGTGAAGTTTGAGAACCACTGAAGGAAACATGAGGTTTTAGGCAAGATTTTTATGGGACTTTGGATGTCTGGAAAGCAATTACTTATCTGAATACTATCTATCCTTTTAAGTAGGGGTTGTGTTGCATGGCCCTGACAATTCATAGGCTGAAGGTCTAAAACCTACTAAATACCACCCCTCCCCAGGGATCCTAGTGGGCAGGGCTGAGAAGTCAGTTTCTCTTCTTTTCCTAATTGATGGAGAGTCATACTCATGTGGTAAGTACTAGGTATGGATTTTCTGGCTCAGATCCCTCTCTTATCAATAGGTCCTGGGCTAGTTTTTACAGAGATATCAAGTCAGGACAGCATGATGGATTACCCTAAATTTAGTCTGTCTATTCCAATTAATGATTTAGAAATAACTGCATGAGAGAAACTATAAAAGTATAAGAAAGCGTTGTATTAAGTATTAACTTATTTCATTAAATTAACATTTATTGGCATGGCAATGTAAAACAAAATAGAAATGGTTTTAAAATTTCAACTGCATGAAATAATTAAACATACTGTGACAGTTTCGAGTCTCTGTTTCACTAGCTGCATCTTTGTTGAAGAATTTTCAGTGTGGACAAATTCATCAATCTGAAAAGAGCCTTGATGGGGCAGCTTAGGACAAGTGCACAAAGCATCTTGACTTTGGTGTATTCCAGGTAATGGAAATATTCCATTGTAGCGTTTGAACATTTCAGCCTCCTGTTGGGCTACTGAAAAAAATGAAGCTATAATTAGTTCAAAACATCACAGCAAAAGCATAATCAAATAATTAAGCCATGAAATCAAAGCATTAAACAGCTAATCAGAAACTGCATAATACATTTTGAATACTGGGTAATAATAAGACAACATGATTGCCAAAATGTGAAATTATTAGGTACTATAAAACCATAAGGAAAAACTATAAAATGTTCCCAGATAATTTCATGTCAGGCAGCATTATAATTGAGCCTTGAATGCCATGCAAATTGGGATAAGAGCCTAACTTTAAACATATGTATATAGAAAACATAATACTGAAAAATCAAAGGCATAATATAAAGAGAAATGTCAAAACAATGAAGATAATTATTCATAAATCTATCTCCCTAAAACAACTCTTCATATTTCTAGGCCCCTCCTAATCTTTATACATATGCAAATTTTACACAAGCTATCATAATGCAAATACAACTTAACATATCTCAATTTAAATGCAAGTTTTCATATTTCTACAATAACATAATTACAATTGTTAAATGTTTTACAGTATCTCATCTAATGATGCTCCATACATTGTTTTTTGAGTTGGAGTCTCACTATGTCACCCAGACTGGAGTGTAATGGAACGCTCCCGGCCACTGCAGCTTCGACCTGCTGGGCTCCGGCGATCCTTCCCCCTCAGCCTTCCAAGTAGCTGGAACTACAGGCATGCACTACCTACATATACATTTTTTGGTAACAAATTCTATTACTGAATACAGTTAGCCTTCTGTATTGATGGGTTCTGAATCTGTGGATTCAACCAACTCATCGATCAAAAATATTTGGGAAAAAAATACCAATACTATGAAAAATATAAAGAAAAATATAGTATAACAAGTATTTACATAACATTTATATTGATTACAGATTATAAGTTATCTGGAGATGATTTAAAGTATACAGGAAGATGTGTGTAGGTTATATGCAAATACTATGACATTTTACATAAGGTACTTGAGCATCTATGGATTTTTATATCCCCAGGAGCCCTCCCCACACTCGAGCATACTGAGATGACTATATTTACAGTGTTTTCTATTTTCCCTTATTATGAGTAAGTACTTTCATAGCTGACTTTGGTTCTTTTTTTATTTTTCCAGTTTTCAGGCAAAGTTTATTTAGGAAGTTAGAGAGAGGGGAGAGGAGAGAAGAGAGATTCACCTCCCCAAGGTAGGGGAGGGGGCCAAGGCTAAGAAAACATGGGGGCCATACATAGCTCACAGAGCCATGTGGGCACACCAGAGCTGAACAAAGAGTGACCAGCTTTGGTTCTTAACATAATTATTATTTTGGGTTTAATTCTCCAGAATGGGGTAGATGGCTCAAACAGTAAATGTTTTGATGATGAAGACGACAAGTATAACAGCATCTGTACAACATGTATAGCACTTTTTGTTTTTTCAAAGGCTTTCCCATGCATTTCTAAACATAACATGAAAGAAAACAAATCTCAAAACGAGATTCATAACATGGTATCAATGGATGAGACTTCAGAGATCCTGTGGACTACTGAAGTTACATACAGAACTGTAAGTGTATGCAAATGTTTCTGGCAAGCAGACGCATAACTTTTATTAGATTATTCATCAAAGGATTACTAGTAAGAAAAGGTTAAGAGCTGTCAACATTTTTATGACTGATGAATAGATTTTGCTACATGAACATTTAAAGAGTTCTCATAAAAATAAAAGAATCTCTCACAAAAATTTAAAAGCAAATGTAAGGTAATAAGTTTCTCCATCTCTGACAAAATAGAGTAAAAGAGACCAGATGTGCCCTCCTGCTTGAAACTACCAAAAAATGGACAAAAGTATAAAAGAAAAAATAAAACTTTCCTTGCAGATATGATTGTTTATGCAGAGCTAAACTGGACTGAGGCAAGTGAGACACGTTGGGAACAAAATATAAAAAGGCACTCACTCTCATGTCCTGGGCCCTCATCTGTGTAGAAAATCTAAACGGAATCTAAAGAGACAAGGCACTAGAATTAACTTTAGCAAGGTTTCAAGACATGAGCTCAAGATACAAAAATTATCTCTAAGTCTATACACAAGTAAAAAAGAATCAGAAATTCACATTAAAGAGTATATATATATTATATATAAATGTATATATATAAATGGTGTGTGTGTGTGTATATAGATATACTATAAATGGTGTATATATGTACCATTCATAAATGGCACACACACATGCTCTCACACACACACCTACACACACACACCCCCCACACATCCCATACATACATACACCATTTACAATGGCATAAAAATATGACAAACTCTGAGACAAATCTGATGAAAGATTTGAAAGAACTGTACACTGAAAACTAAAAGTATTGCTAAGAGAAACTGAAGAAGCACCTAAGCAGATATACTGTGTTCGTGGGTTGGAATACTCAATATTGGTAAGATGTCAATTCTCTCCAAGTGGTCTGTGTAGATTCAATGCAATCCCACCCTAAATTCCAGCAGGTTATTTTTAGAGAAATTGTCAAATAAATTCTAAAATCCACCTGGAAATGCAAATTATCTAGAATAGACAAAACAACTTTGAAATAGAACACAGAGAAATAATGCAACTTTACTTCAAGTCTTATAAAGCTCCAGTAATCAACACAGTTTGTTACTGGCATAAACAAGTAGATCAGTATAATGGACTAGAAAGCCCAGCCTAGACAAGGTGTAAAAGCAATTAATGGAGAAAGGACAGTCTTTACAACAAATGGTGTTGAAATAGTTGGACATTCATATATATATAAATAATAACTTTAATCCATACGTCACACCATACAAAAAGTAAATAAAAATGAACCACAGATCTAAATGTAAAACCTAAAAGTATAATACTTCTAGAAGGAAACAGAACACTTTTAATAGCTTGGACTAGGCAAAGATGTCTTAGATACAACAGCAACTTCCATAAAAAGAACAAACTGACATTTGAACTTCTTCAAAATTTCAAACTTCTGTTCTTCAAACTTTTTTTTTTTTTTTGAGTTGGAGTCTCACTCTGTTGCCCAGACTGGAGTGCAGTGGCTGCTCCTGGCCACCGCAACCTCGACCTGCTGGGCTCCCGCGATCCTTCCGCCTCAGCCTTACAAGGAGCCGGAAATATAGGCATGCGCTACCACGCCTGGCTGATTTTTTGATTTATCGTAGAGATGAGGTCTTGCTGCCCAGGCGGGTCTCGAACCCACGGGCTCAGGCAATCCACTCACCTCAGCCTCCCAAAGGCGCGGGATTACAGGCTAAGCCACCGAGCCCGGCTTGTTTTTCAAACTTTTAAGACCATTAGAAAACAAGCATGCAGGTGCGCGCGTACACACACACACCAAAAACCTGGGAAAAATTTCTGCAAATGTATACATAAAACATAAAAAGCTCTCAAAATTCAGTATCAGAAAACAAATAGGACAAAATAAAAAGCAGGCAAGAATTTGAGCAGATACTTCATTGAAGAAGCAATATAGATGGTAAACAAACATGCAAAAAGGTGCTCAAAATCATGAGTCAGAAATAAGCAAATTAAAACCACAAAAAATAGCACTGCTTATCTATTAGAATGGCTAAAATTAAAAAGACTGGTCATTTCAAATTTGACAAGGATATGAAAATACTGAGCCAGGCATGGTGGTTCAACCCTGTAATTCTAGCACTTTGGGCGGCTGAAGAGAAAGGATTGCCTCAGCCCGCAGGTTCGAGACCCACCCGGGCAATTTGGCGAGAATCAAAAATAAATCAAAAATTAGCCGGCGTGGTAGCACGTGCCTGTAGTTCCAGCTACTTGGAAGGCTGAGGTGGAAGGACTGCCGGAGCCCAGCAGGCCGAGGCTGTGGTGGCTGGGAGCATGCCACTGCACTCCAGTCTGGGCGACAGAATGAGACTCCAACTCAAAAAAAAAAAAAAAAAAATTGGCAGATTCTTAAAAATTTAAGCATACATCTGCAATATGATCTATCCCTTCTATACTTAGGAAATTATCCAAGAGAAATGAAAGCATAGGTCACACAAAGACTCAGACATGAATATTTGGAGAAGCTTTATTTGTAATAGCTAAAAACTGGATATAACCCAATGGCCATCAACCGGTGAATGGATAAAGAAACTGCGGTACATCTATACAATGAAAAAACACTCAACAATAAAAAGAATGACCTATTAAAAAATGCAAAACAGATTTATGTCAAAGTAATTATGAGTAAAAAAGCCAGACAGAAAAAGAGTACATGATATATACTGTTTTATTTATATACAATTCTGGAAAATGATAGCAAATTCATAGTGGTTGCCTGGAGTGATGGGGAGGTAGCAAGAGAATACAAAGGGGCACAAAGTAGCTTTTGGGGATGAGAGATAAGTCCATTATCTTGACAGAGGCAATCATCCCACAAGAGTATAAATGCCTACACTTGTCAGAGTATACATTTAAATATGTTCACCTTATTGTATATCAATTATACCTCAATAAAGCTGTTCACAAAATAGCAAATGACAAAATGGTAATAGAAGGGGTAATTATTCTTAATATGCAAAGGGTCCCCATAAAATCAATTAAAATAAATAATCCAACATAAAAATGAGAAAAGAACCATTAAAGGAAATTCACAAAAGAATAACTACGTGGCCAATAAAAAAATTTTAACCCCACTAAAAGTTAATGAAGAAATTTGTAATAAAAACAAAAGGTGATTTTTTTTTTTTGTCCGCTGAACTGACCCATTGTATTTCAAGATATTTTTCCCCAAAGGAACAAATTAAATAAGGAGAGCTAGGTGTATACCAAAGTATTTTAAAATGTTGAAAAACATGGAACAGTATAATTGTGCAGCAATAGTGTAAATAAACTATCATGTATTGATTTAATGAAAGGGAATTCAGTCACTAAAATTATGAACAGAAGTATAATTATCACAATGGAAAACTGTTCATAATATACTATTAATTGGAAGAAAAATAGTTTATAA